TAGCAAACCATACATGACTCGTTGATAACCCTAAATATAGGGTTGTGGGCATGCTGGGCTTTAAACCTATGATAAGTTTTATAGCCTAGTCCTGGCCCAACCTGGGCTCCAAGCCTGGTCATATTAATTTGCATATAAATTTATTTTATATATTATTAGTATAAATATTATATATAATATAACATGTGTCATATTATAATATTTATATATGTATAATATATAATATTACATAAAATAATATATATATATATATATATATATATATATATATATATATATATATATATATATTGCAAAACCAAATCTCAAACATAGTTGAAATCCACTGCCAGCAGTTTAGGTTTCCATCAGTGAGAGTGCAAATCCGATCATNAATATATATATATATATATATATATATATATATATATATATATATAAACTAAAATCTATAGGCATGGTGTGGGCTTGGGTTCAACTCAAGGGTAATTTTGTCATGAAAGATATTTCATAATCTTGTCTTAGGCATTCAAGAGTAGTTTGATCATGTAAAATGCTTAAAAGCTTATGTGGACAACTTCTATTAATAATCACTAATGGTGAAAGGAATTTTAACAAAATGTGACTTTTAGACAATAAAATTCACTCTCAAGGGCTCTTTGGAGGAGTTTAAAAGTCATGGTGAGTTTAAGAGAAACATGAAAATGTCATTGTGAATTTTAGATAATATCCCTAAATAATATTAGAACCTTGTTAAATGTTTACATATATGTTTTGTAATTTGTAATTTTTATATTTTTTATATAATTTTTATTTTATTTATGTTGCCAATGGTTGACCCAATTGGACTACTAATCAAATTAGGCATATTTGTTTAATATAATGAATATAAAACCTACTTGCTATTTCCAACAAAATTTAGTTTTTTTTTTTGCACTTTTGATATTTTTATATTTTAACTAATTTTATTTGTCTACAACAACATAGAGTGACCCACTTAACCCAACTAGTTAAACCATGACCCAATTATAAAAAAAAAAAAAATCAAAGTGAAGGGCCTTGTATATTTACATGTCACATGGCAAAATATAGCATGCCCCCAAATGATAGTGAGTGAGCCCTTCAATGATGCTTGCAACAAAGGTCAAAGTTGGATCAAAGCCATTAAGTTGGTATATATTACATTAAATGTATATAACACACACACACACAGAATAGCGGCGACCCGTGCAATGCACAGACTTTTGTTAAGGAAAGTTATACAATAGAAAACTATATTTAATAATTTTATGTAGGAATGGCAATAGGTTGAGGTGGGCAGAGGGAGCTACTCCCATCCACGTCCTCACAAAAGAAAGTCCTTGTACCCATACATCCCCATTCCCATGCAGATCCCCACTTGCCCTTTTTTATGATGTCAAAATCATTTTTTTTTTACTTTAACTCTAAAAATAAAATAATAATTTACAATCCTTTCAAAAGAGTTGGGATCTTCTACCAACAAAAAACATTCTAACCCTCTCCCAACTTGATCTAATACTGCACATCTCACCATGAAACCAGGACCTGCCATGTATGAGATGTGTAGTGTGAGATCTCGTTGGTAAGAGGGGTGGAACGTGTTTTGTTGGCCGGTGATCCAGACCCCTTTCAAAATAGATCCAATATATCTAAATATATTCAAATACATCCAAACATACCCAACCGCATTCTTAATGATAGTAATACAAATTCCTTAAATAATTCATAAGAAAAACACAAATATTCAACATAAATCCTAAGTTTTGGGCTTCAAGGCCTTAAACCTAATTTTTAAATCAATAAGCATTTTATTAAATGTTACTAAACATTCTAAATTTGAAGATGTTAATCTTTTTCCTTGTTTTTCTAAATTTTATTTTTTACATATTTTAATCTTTGTTTTCCTACTATATAAATGTAATTAATTATTATTTTTAAATGCTACTATATTTTATTATTCTTTTTATTAAATGTTACCAAAATTTTCAAATGATATTTAATTCTTTACTTAATTTTAAATAATACTTATTTTTCCAACATTTCAAATGTTATTAATTGCTTATTTTTTAATATTATTAATTTCTGGTAATCTTACACAATTAGTATTAATTTATTAAAATAAAAGGCAAAAATTTATCGATAATTTGTGGTAATTTTAAACAATTACTGCTAATTAATTAAAGAAAAAACAATAATTCATTGATAATTTCTGGTAATTTTATTAAAATTACTACTACTTTTTTGTAATTTTAAATAATTATTAATAAATTACTGTTAAATAAAATTTGAATAATTAGTACTGATTTATGGTAATTTTCAATGTTTGATGTTAATTTAACAATAATCTATTGATAATTTCTGGTATTTTTAATAATTACTAAATAATGTACTGTTAAATAAAGAGAAAGGAGATTAATTATTATCTAAACTAATTAATTGAATTAACGGCCTGGTTATATATATGAACTTAATGATTTATTTTAAGTACATTAATTACTTTACTTAACTATTTTAAATTAGTTAAATTAAATTTACCAAGTTATTATAAACTAAATTAACTAAACCAAATTAATATATTGTAATAATGAACTTAACAAAATAGCGTACCTTACTTTTAATTATGTTTATATAAATTTATCTAAAAATAATTAATTAAATTATTATTATTTCATTGAAACTATATTAAATTTAATTTCATCTAAAGGTAATAAATTTTAAAATTTAATGTAATTAAATTAATGTCATTACTTAACAGTAATATAATGACTAAGTTTCCCTTTAGTTAACTTAACATTAACATAACTCAACAAAGTTACTATAAACAAAAATAGCCCAACTAATTAACTGTCCAATTTGGGCGAAACCGTTCCAGTCCTGTTTGATATATGCAGTTGGGCAGCTTGGGTTAGATCAAACCAAAACAACCTAAGTTATATGGGTAAGAGGTGGATCTATATGTGGTATAAACCCGACCCATATAACCAATCTTCTTCACCCGGTAAGGAGATGTAGTATTCGCTAGCGGACACAACGATGTCTGGTCAATAAGACCCTACACCTTGTATTTTCCAGAACTCACCTTAAGCCTTCTCATATATGGGATGAAGAGAAGGTGATCGTAGTGTGAAAATGTCACTAAAGGGGAGAAGGGGATGTCACTCTATTAGTTCTCAAAAAGCAGTCTTTGGCTGTGATAAAATCTACAATAAATTAAGAAGGAAAAGTTGAGTGATATTGGAAAGTTGCAAATATGTTAGGTTTCTTTTCTTAAAAACGTGATAGCATGGAGTTTGGGAGTTAACATCTGTGCCCCACAACGTTCCACAGCACATCTTTGCCGTGCATTGGGATCATCTCCCGACGATAGTACTAGTCCTGATAATATCATCATCGGGAGATGTTCCTAATACACGGTAGGGATTGATGTAGGACACTGTGGGGCACCCCCTTGTGGGGCTCAGATCTGAACTCAGAATTTGGAAGATAAGTGGAGATGTAGGTTAGTCGGTTTTGAGAAGTTGCTTTCTTTGTCACGATTGTAGAACCTTGATGATGCGGCTAATCGAGATGGTTCAAAGCCCGTTGATGTGGCTTATTGGGTGGCATGGGTAAGGGGAGGAAAAAGAGAGTGAATGAGAGAGCGGAAAGGGGTAAGAGAAAAGAAGGGAAAGACAAGTAAGGAAAAAAAGGGAAAAATAATGAAACTAATACAAGGTTTGCAGATGTGTTCATGGACTGGGTAGCCCGATGACCTTTTATAAGTCGGGTGGTCATAATTTTAGGCCCATGGGCTTGAGCTTGGGCCTAAAGCACCGGGCCTGACTTTTTTTTCGGGTCGAGCTGGGGCTTTCTCAAAAAATCTCGGCCCGAGCCCGAGCCCGACTTGATAGTATATATTAAATAATAAAAAATATATATACAATATTTTTTCTTTGTTATCTTTTTTTTCAAGTAATAGTGAGATGTTTATTATTTTTGAGTTTTGAACTTTTTAATTATAATAAAACACTTTTTTATTGAATAAAAAAAGAAAAAAAATTATGTTTTCGAATTTCTGGCTAGGCTTGGGCTTGGGCTTCAGACTTTATATGAGGGTCAGGCTCAGACTCAAGATCTAGGCCCGATGGTCAGGCCAAGCTTGGGCTCAGGCCTGAATGTATTCTATTGATACATATATACAAGCCTGGCCCGAACTCGACTCATGAACATGTATAAAGGTTTGTAAAAGTTTCCCTACTTTCCCTACATTTTCCTTCAAACCAAACATAGCATACGGGGAATAGAAGATGGAGAGAGTTGCTGACGTTAGGGACCTAATCACTTTTATACGGAAGTGATCTCATTTAGGGGTGTCAACGGTATTTGAAAAATTCGATTTTGAATTTGATATTCGACATAATCAAATCGAATTCGGATAATTTGAATATATAATCGGTCGAATTCGGGATATCCTATTATTACCAAATAGTTAATGGGATTCAAATTCGGATATAACCTGATTCGATTCGATAAATATCCAAATTCAACCGATTATTTAGTTCTTATATACAATATATAAAATAATTTATATATTTATACTTTATATCAATAAAATATTTATTTTTATATTTATCAATTATCTAAAATAATTAATTAATCAAATTCGAATTCGATCCGTTTACACCCCTAATATTAATATTAGGATAGATGTGAGTTTATCATTTGATCCAATAGTAGTAGTGATGTAAATGGGTGGATAAGTTTCAGTTGATATCGGGTCAAGGCAGCCTACAAAAATTCGATAAAGTGCGTGAGGTCATTCCGTCGACGATAACCGGGTCGGGTCCGGCAACAGTTTCTATATTCGGGTCGCTTGGGTTGGAATTTGGGAACATGGAAGAAACAATGTCACGTCGCGTCAGCCGTCAGGTGAACAGTCAATCAGGCAGTATATTTATAATATACATAGACCAAGGGCCTTTTGGTCAAACAAAAAATATGTGGCTAAGAAGTTCTCTGGCCGGATAGTCGGATAGATCGAAAACCTGGAGCCTGCGTCAATTGCAATCGATGATATTTTAGTGCAGAGTAGCTCGAACTCCGTCCGAAGTAAGGCCAATTACTTCCCTCTTTGAGCTCTTGGAAATGGGTTACTCCTCGGAAGGCCACATTTGCCAGTGCTTGAGCCGGATATCAATTCTCCGACGTAATTCTCTAGTCACAATCTTCAGGAACCGGCGAAAGACTGGCGAGGAATTCGTGCAGAGCGTATTGAGCCTTGCCAGTGGATTGCGTGAGCTCGGCCTCAAGAGAGGAGACGTTGTCGCTATCGCTGCTCTGAACAGGTCTGCGCTTCTCCCTCCTATTCTCTTTCTAGATTTTCTTTTTCTTTTTTTGGTAGAATCTAGATTTTATTTTTCATGTTCTGCTTTTCTCTGTTACTCTTGCCGTTTAACAGCGACTGGTATCTCGAGTGGTTGCTTGCAGTTGCATACGTTGGAGGCGTTTCAGCTCCTCTCAATTTCCGTTGGGTAAGAACTTAGGAAGTTTCATGAGAAATGTTCGCATACAACACGGCGTGCAGCTTGTTCAATTCTTCGCTTTAGACAAAGAAAAATTTATGCAACAAGGTTCCAGAGTTGCACAAACTCGTTGCATGTGGCGCTGGGAGTAATGCTATTATGTAACGAGTTTATGCAATTCTCGTTAACTAGAATTTGTCTTTATTTATTGGTGGGAAAGTGTTTTCTCACAAAAAATCATGACCGAACATCTGTTAAACACGCAGAGCTCAAAAGATGCGAGATGGGCAATGCAGGTCGTGAGTCCTGTAATGGTGGTTTTGGACGAGAGCTGTAGTATCTGGTGCTCCTGGCTACACAATAATAATGTGCCTTCTCTGAGGTGGCGTATTTTCCTCGGAGAGCCTTCAACCCTCTTCGGCAGTGGAGATGGTAATTATGCTCAGTATCACAAGCACATAGAGTCCGGATATGCCGCGCCTCACAGCGACTTCAGAAGATCTCCTGACCGCACATTGGGAACATCTCTTATACTTCTATTATTATTCGAGATGTTCCAAATAAAAATGGGATGTGACTGTGAGGTCGGTGTGAGGCGTGCTTAAGATTTGGGTCCATGCTTTATTATATTTCTGGTCAATCATAGCCTGGATAAACCAAATCCAGGCCGAGTTGGTCCGATTGGTCCAATTAGTCAAACATGCACAGTTTGGATTGGGCCCATATTTTCCAACTCTAACCCTATCCAAACATTAACCCAATCCGTTTTTTTTTCTTTTATTTATTTTTATTTGGCTCAGGTTTAGGTTTAGGCTAACCCAGCCCAAGTTGTTGGATAGCAGATAAGTGAGTTCATTTGTTGGTACAAGGTTTTTAAAACTAAACAGGACAATGAACCGGTCAGGGGGCTGGTCCCTGGGTTGAACAAGTCTGACCATTCGAACTGAACAGGCCTGTTCTGACAAAAAAAAGTCAAAATTGTTAGAAGGTTCAAACGATTTGAATGATTCGATTGCCCAGGTCAGTGGTTTGTTGACCAAATCAATGGTTTTTTAGGAAATAACGGTCCTGGGGTAAACGGAATCGGTCACCTGACTGGTTCCCTTTTTCCGGTCCAACCATCCAGTCCGGTCCGATTTTGAAAACTATGTATTTGTTGGTAAGAGTGCAAAATGCAAATTAGGCACTCTTCGTCAAAATGAAAGTAATCTCTCTCTCTCATTGACTTGACCAATAATATTGTATTCCATCTTTGAAACCCAAATTTGTTTTCATTTTAATGCATGCATATAGAAAAGCAAATTTGTTGTCATTTTTAGATTTTAGTACAATCATTTATTCTTACCAAATGACTGCAAAGCTGACTTAGAATACAAATTCGGGTGAGTTCAGCGTTTGCATTCATACTAAACACAGCCTATGGCAAATTTGTAGGGGTTGTATAAGGACCGGGTTGGCTGGTCCATCCAATAAAGTATTTGCTGACGAGGTGGGTCTTCATTTTTGTTTGGCCAGTTTTAACTATGGAAATGCTCAGTATTCCTCAACGATCCAACCCTTTTGATTTGCAGTGGGCACCAGAGGGCATTGCTCTTATATGTTTCACTTCAGGTACAGTGATCTTCTCAGTTTCCATTCAAATAATTGTTTACTTGCTTATTAACAAAATCTGCCAAATGCTCCCTTGTTCTGGTCCTGTCTGGATTAAACCGGCTCTTAATATCAGACCCTTATTCCCAAATCCCAATCGGAACAAAGACAAACTGGATCTGTTCGGCTTTGACCAATTAAAATCCTCCCGTGATTTTTTCCGGTACCGGTTGATTAGTTTCAAGTTTTTCCGGTATCATAGTGATGAGATTGAGTTTTTTTTTAGTTGGTTTAGTCGATTTGGACCATGATAGTTCCGGTCTGAACAGCTTGCTTCAATACAGGAACCACTGGGAAGCCGAAGGGAGTTGTCATCAACCACAGAGCTCTGATCGTTCAATCACTTGCAAAAATCGCTGTTGTCGGCTACGGTGAGGATGATGTAGGTTATCAACAATTACTGGACTTAAGGAGTACTGGGTCGGCCATTCTAGGCCTAGCCCAATTTTGAATATGGGCTGGGCCAGGAGAGTCCAAATCTAATAGGCACACTCCGAGAGCACATTGACTCATTGAGCAAGCACATAATTATTTTGTCGATTCCGTTATTTAGGCTCAGTTTGGAAGAAGTACAAATACAAATATGTAGATTTATAGAGTGCAAAACCTTATATTTTGTATGTATTTGCACAATATATATATTTGTGTTTATACTCCTACAAAACTGAGCCTTAAATGTTTCTGAGCAGTTGACAAATATTCTGACAACTGTATCAAAAATTGTTTTTAATCTTTTTTAAGGGTAGATTAGGGTATTTTAATAGAAAGGTGTCAGAAATTTCTATGCGCTCATTGAACGTGTTCACCTTCTGTGGATTTTGTAGGTTTATCTACACACAGCACCATTGTGCCACATTGGAGGAATATCTTCATGTATGGCCATGCTCATGGTAGGAGCTTGCCATGTCTTCATACCAAAGTTTGAAGCTGGATCAGCCCTTGAAGCCATAGAACAACACCATGTCTCCTCACTGATCAGTGTCCCTGCAATAATGGCTGATCTGATTTCCATGATCAGGTAAACCACAAACATGATTTAGAGTACTCGATATTTCAACTAGAAACCATAACTTCAGCCAATATAATTATTGGTCGGGACTCGGGATTCAATTGATTGGCTTCTTAATTGGATGAATCTTAGTTCGGATCTGGTGCTTGCACCACATCCATTTGGGTCTCATGTCTATGGAACACTAGCATGTTCACATGTGATTGGCTATGTAGCCCGCTAAACACAACGGTGCAAATAGCCGATCCCAAGTCTATCATTCAAGGGTGCAATTCGGGTCAGGACGGTTGGGGAATTTGTAACATTTTAAATGGGACAAAACCCAACAAAAGCCCAATGTAATTGAAATTTCTTCAACTTGGGGCAACTTGACTTGCAGCCCTAAGGCTATAGAGCCTAGATTTCTTACTTTTTCTTACCCACTCTCTATATTACAGCCACACATCTCTCAATTCATAATAGAGATGTGTGGCTCCAATTCACGGTGGGTATGAAAAGTGAGTAAGAAATCCCAAGTGAAAGCTATGTGCCTTTAATGAACACTAGTTTAAGGACTAAGAGATTCAAAGCATAGGTTAATGCATGTCACTTTGTTTCTGATTGATGTTTTGAAAGATGGAATCAGGAGAAATGGAGGATGGAAAGGTGGTGAACATGTGAAAAAGATACTGAATGGAGGTGGAGGGCTTTCTTTTGAGCTTGTAAGAGATGCGGCAAAAATATTCCCCTCAGCTAAGATTCTTTCAGCTTATGGTGGGTCTGTCTTTCTCATCCATGTTTGATCCTTGTATCGAAATTCTATGTACTGAGCACATGTATGATGTATCGTATGTTATAGGGAGGCAAATCGGGTACCTGATTTAAAGAATTTACACTGCATCATTCCTAGTGTAAATTCTTCAAATTTTAATTTAGGGCTGTTAATGGGTCGAGTCTATCCTATAGAACTGAACCGATCAAACCAACTATGTCGGTTCTGATTATTTGTTTTTATTCCAATTAATAATTGGGTTGGGACCGGTTAACATCTAAACTGATTAATAATCAGTTCAATTCAGTATATAAACACTTTAGTATTTTACTGTGAAAAACACTTGTTCAATTTTGGGTCTATCCAATAGGACTGATTAATAATCGGTTCGGGACTGGAACACAGATCTGACCCATTGTTCAATTTCTTGTTCTCTTTTGAAGGGATGACAGAAGCATGTTCTTCACTAACTTTCATGACTCTCCATGATCCGAAGGAGGAATTCTCCGGCGAGCCCATTCAAAAGGAACCTGAAATGACACGGAGCATGGTTCACAGGCTAGGAGGGGTTTGTGTAGGGAAGCCTGCACCCCATGTTGAACTACAGGTACAGGGTGACGGGTCTTCTCCTATTGGGAGAATTTTCACTAGAGGCCCACATGTAATGCTCGGTTATTGGGATCAAAATCTGGCAACGGTGTCAGACTCCGGGGAGAGAGGTTGGCTTGACACAGGTGACATAGGATGGGTTGATGGCCATGGCCATCTTTGGCTGGTTGGACGAGCAAACGGTCGAATCAAGAGTGGAGGAGAGAATGTTTGTCCCGAAGAGGTAAGCCCATGTTGACAAGTTTGAATTATGCAGCAAATGTAGCTCTAGGAGATGTCTGTAAGAGAGAGAGAGAGAGGTCATATATACTTGGAATTTATATATTGTATCGAGTAGAGTCTGTTGTTTGAATGTTGTGTTTTATTAGATTGTCATAGGTTCATGTTTATATAAATTATTCACTTGATTGTATTCATGAAATTCTACATCAAAGTCATTTTTAGTTCATTTTATTAATAACATATTATATTTTGATAATTTTTCGTTTAATTTATTAACAATATCCAATTGCAATCTGATTTAGATTCGAATCTAATACAAATCCAATGGATAATATCTGATTCAAGTTTAGATACAAGTGAATCAAATTTAGATACCATTTGCTGTCCTAAAAGTTGGCAACTAAAGATTCTTACTATAGGATAGATGTTTGGCGATCCAGGTAGAGGTCATCCTTAATCAACATCCTGGAGTTTCCAGTGCTGTTGTCGTCGGACTCCCAGACTCTCGGCTGACAGAGGTAGTAGCAGCCTGTATTCAGATGAAGGAGAATTGGCAATGGGATGACTTTAACTTGAAACACAGACCTGAAAGCAAGCTATGGTTATCTAGCAAGATACTCCAGATGTATTGCAAACAGAAGAATCTAACCGGGTATGCATCTTTTCAAACTTGAATTCTTTGCAACATTTTGCTTAATGATAGAGGTAAATCATATTGTATTCATTTTCAGGTTTAAAATTCCCAAGATATTCATGTTATGGAGGAAGCCATTTCCATTGACTACAACTGGGAAACTGAGAAGAGATGAAGTTAGAAGAGAAGTCATGTCTAACTCGAAATTCTTGCCTAGTAGTCTCTGAGTTTTGCCGGAGTAAGAGAATTTTTACAGAACTACATAGTTTCCATTCACAGAAAGCAATTTTCATTCAATTCAATTTTTCTCAATTTGTTTTCTTCTTTCTTTTTTTTTTTTTTTTTTTTAATTTTATACCCCCCAAACCATTATAATGAGCTGTTTGAGTACTTCATTTTCGTGGTTTTGTGTACTATGTACCGGCTATAAATTTATCTTACCTAGCAATGAACTGTTAGTTTAATTCCTGTTTACAATCAGAAAGAGTTCCTCAGGGGCTATTTGATAATGGTTGGAGTTGCTGAATTGTTTCTCTTTTAGTGGATATCATTGTTGTATAGTAAATTGTTTTTCAGCTCTAGAAGTTGAAGTTCGTGCTTTAATTGACAGATTGTCATTTCCATTAGAGCTTTAGATTCAATATTTGGTGATTGAGGGAGATATATCAAAGGTTATAAAGGCTTTGTCAGAGGAACAGTCAAATACTCAAATAAGGGTGTCAATGGATCGGTTTTGGATTGGACCCCATCCAAACCAAAATCAATTTGGATGGATTGGATGGACCAACAAGACATATTGAATTGGACCAGTCCAGACTTAATGGTTCAAAGTATTTATTTGATTGGATTGGACCTAGTCCACCGTAATGAATTTATATTGGATTGGGTTGGATTGAGCCAATATCTGGTCCATTGATAGAAGATAAAAACATAGGTGTCAATGGACCAGGTTTGGGTTAGAATTAATGTAAATTCAAACAAAGTTAAACAGATTGGACAGTTCAGACATTGAATTGGACCAGTCCAAAATGGTCCAAAATATTCATTGGATTGGATTAGACCTGGTCCATTTGTAATGGACTCACATTGGACTCTCAAATCTTCCATGGCGGATTCAGAAGATTCTTGCTGATTTCGAAGGTCTTATTACATCATTATCCCAGTGCTCAGTTTATTTGATCCTAGAGCTGCAAATAAGGATGCACTGAAGGTTAATTAAAGCTTGTTTGCCTTATCAGGATTAAAAAAGAAGGAGAAAAAAGTAACCAACCCAACATGCCATACAACCATTAAGAAGCTCAAGAACTACTTAATTAAGTTGTATATTATGGTAGCATTTGACAAAAGTCTGATATCTGAAAAGTAAAAGCAAAGCACTTTTATAGATCTAATATTTGAAATAGCAAATCTGCTTTTTTGGATTTTTGGAGCCCATGTAAAAAATGGCAATTAGCCAATCTTGGTTGTAGCTATTTGGGGTTTTGGGAGGAGTGGACTGGAATCAGTCTTAAAAATTTGCACTGCTTTTTATACAAATTGGCTGCTCTCAGACTTTTTTTTTTTTGATAGGTAAAAAAAGTATATTAACAAGGGAAAAACAGTCTATACAACCAGGCGGGCTGTCCCAAACAACTGCATTACTACCTGAATTCTTCATCAGAGAGGCTATAGAATGGGCAGCCCCATTTAAAGACCTAAGCAAAAAACTAAACTTAGCATTTACAAAAGTAAAAGTAGAAGTTAAAGACTTAACAACATCCCCCCAATGAGATACTTCCCATGATAAAGGAGGATAACCAGATTACAAAAAATTAACTACTAATTTAGCATCAGAAAATATTAACACTGGATTCTAGCCACGCTCCTTTGCAAAATACTACCCATCCAAACAGAAAAAAGCTCTGCTACAATGCTTATTCCACTACAAACTATTCTACCCTAGGGGTGTCAATGTCAATTGGACTGGATTTGGTCCAATCTGATCCAGTCCAATGCGAGTCCATTATAAATGGACTAGGTCCAATCCAATACAATGAATGTTTTGGACCAATTTGGACCGGTCCAATTCAATGTTTGGATCGTCCAATCTGTTCAAATTCATTTTGATTTAGATTGGTCTCAACCCAAACTCGGTCCATTGACACATATTCTTATCTTATATCAATGGACCAAATATCGGCTTATGTTATGGGCCCGCGCGTAGGATCTCGTCACGGGTCGGTCCACGGGGAGAAAGCCCTGCTTTCCCTTGCGTGCTGCCTTGCGTGCAGAACCTATTGAGGAAACTGAATGGGTGATTTGTCCAAGAGACCACCCGAACTCTCCTTACTCTTCTCTTGATTGGGAAAACTGAATGCCTTTATTTCAATTCGTAGCTCCTTAAATAGGAGATTACAGAAGGAAATTCCTAATTAAACTCAAACTCCTAATTACCTACTCCTAATGGTAACACAACTCTTACTTAAGATAAGATAAAGGACAAGGGATAAGGAATGGTGTAGCTAGCGGCAAGTTGGCGGGCAGAGCTGATGTGGTAAGATAAGTGTGGCCCCACCCTGATGAGCTGTCATGTGGGCCCCGCCCTGGGCGGTGCGCGCGTCTCGCGGTGTTGCTGCCGTGAGGTGCGTGCTGCGTGCGGCCAGGCGGTACGTGCTGCGCGCTGCCGGGCGGTGCGTGCTGCTGGGCAGGAAGAAGAAACTTGAAGAGGAAGAGGCGCAGAGGAAAAGTGGAAAACATACCCAGCCCGCGCCATTAATGTAGCGGTAGTCGCATGGTGTTCTACGACAGTTTTAATTGACTGTTGGTGACGATAAACAATCAATAGTAGGTGACTGTGCTATTCAGAACAACGATGGAGAAGAAGAAGAATCTTCCCCTACTAAACCCTTTAATCCATGGATGGTGAATAGAATCATCGAATGGAGCTTCCCCTTTCCTAGTTTCTCGGCTCTCTCTCTCTCTCTCTCTCTTCTCAATCTGAATCTCCCTTATCTTTTGTTTGCTCTCCCTCCTTTTTGTTCCAATTCGAGAGTTCCCCTCTCCCCTTTCAAAAAATTGATCCCTCCCTCTTGGGAACAATGCTTCACCTTTTATAATGAGGAGCAAGAAAGATAGGAGGATTCAAAGTAGGGCTGCAACTTGGGTCGGGTTGATGATTGGGTTAGGGTTAGGGTTGAAATTCTTGAACCCGAACTTAGTTCGAGTTGGGCTGGGGTTGACCCCTCGGGCAACCCGACCCCTATAGTACTAGACTACTAGTCTACAACTCTACTACATGTCATATATATATATATATATATATATATATATATATATAGAGAGAGAGAGAGAGAGAGAGAGAGAGAGAGAGAGAGAGAACACACACTTATTTGTTTAGATGCATAGCCCCCCTACATACTATCATGCCTTTCTTTAAGTTATTCACAGGTACTTGACTACTCGTCTTTTCCTTTTGTCTTGTAATTTTTATGTTCAAATTATTTGCTTGATCTTATGAGTTGTTATTAGTGATTTTATTTCCATAATTTTATGTTTCATTATTGTTGATTTCATGAATTTATATTTTTGAGAAAGATTCTATCATAAGTCATAACTCATGATAAATAAATACTTATTTTTCTACTAGATTTTAAGGGATGGGAAGGTTGGGTTGGGCCCAACCCGAGCCCAACCCAACCTGAAGTTGACATCGGGTTGGGTCGAGTTGGGTTAGGGTTGAAAGAATTAGTTAGGGTTAGGGTTAGGGTTGGGTTAGGAGTTTAGAACATAGGGTTGGGCTAGGGTTTGCCTCAACCCGACCTGACTTGCAGCCCTAATTCAAAGATTCTTATCAAGCGAACTAATATTGATGAAAGGAGGCTGGGACGACTAGATTTCCCTTTGCGTTTTAAGAGGGTTTATGTGGGTTTAGGAATAGGTGAGGGATTTCAGGAGGGGTCTTTTTGTAAACTTTTAATATAAAGGGGGGTTACGGTTGGGATCTTTTTGTAATTTTGACTAAGTGTTCATAGGAAGGGTGTGATGATCCTTAACATAGGGAGAGACAAAGTGACGCTCTAGGGTGCGTTTGGTTCGCGGATAGGATTGGAATCGGAATCGGAATCGGAATCAAAATCAGAATCACCTATTCCTAGCATCTGTTTGGTTCAGTCAAGATTCCAATTCCTGCTATTTGGTTCAACTAGAAGCTGGAATCGGAATCTGTCAAAATTTCCAATTCTGCCCCTATTAAAAGAACCTCAAAGATTACTAGTACATCTTTTAAGTGTAATGATGGCTTATCATTTGCTTGTTGGGAAACTTTTGCATATATAAGCTTTGCCATCTCTTGCGCTTCATCTGGACTTTTGCAGATATAACATAAAAAAAAAAAATAAAATCTCGTGGCACAGTTGGTTGGTCAGCCTCATCATGAGATCATCATATTCCCAAATCCAGGTTATTCGCCATCCAACTTCAAGGCTCCAGCTCTGGCTAAATGGGCTTGCAACCACATTGTAATAAAGATATATGTCCCAGTCCGGGCAACCAAAATAAAAAAATAAAAGATAAAAAGAAAAGCATAAAGTCATTCAATCATTGTTTCAGAAGACCTAACCTTCAATCATTGTTTCAGCCTCATAAACATTAGATTGTGGCTTCAGCTGAATAAAGTAATTCATCACAGCTTCTATCTGATTAAGAAAGATAGCATGTCAAAAAAAAGGATTAAAACTTTGGTGGTTATCATTGAAAACTGTCTTACAACGACATAGATGATGTACAAAGTTCAAACCAACTCCACAATTTTCACTTATTATGTGCTATAAAGGTGCTTGAAGTTCTACTCTTTTACTGGCTTTTAATAAGTGTTCCCAAAATGTAACTAATTCAATGTACTATGCTTGAAATACATAACTATTTGCTTTTTGGGGATGAACTGGAAATTAAATGTCTTTTAAACCGGATTCAGAGTCCTTGTTCTCTAAAAGAGGTTTATTTCCAATGAGGTTTGTTAGAACAAACTCTCTGTCAGAACAATCCAAATTAGAGCTAGTGATGCTACAGTAGGAAAGTAACTACAAGGATTGCCAAACTAAATTCTATCAAGATGATTATTATGTCTTGGAAACTTTGTTTTATTCCCTAAAATTCACAGCCGATTTGTTATCATTCATATAATCTTAGCAATAGAATACAACCAAACAACAAAATAATTTATTCTGTTTTTTATTAGTAACAAGATGAAAGAGATTTTATTTAAAATTAAAGGTGGCAACCCTTCTCAAAAGTTTGTGGTAGAAAAAGAGATTTTATTAAGAAAAGAAATGAAATGTAGGCAAAAGGAAAAACGTTTCAAACTAGATTTATTTTTTGGATCAATATATTTCAAACTAGAATTTGCTTTCTATGTATCAGGTGACTAGAAACTAAATCTCTTTGTATCAATAAAAGGAATGCATTGATCAGGAAGAAAATGAGAAGGTTGAGACCAGTGCATCCTATTAGTTTTGAAATTGGAAATGTAAAAATTGGGAAAGGCTTGGAGGAGTTTTAGACCAGTTAATTCATTGACACATCTTTGCTTCAGCCTGACCAAAGCTAACCTGAACATGGTGAGTTCAGTGTAAATTGTTAGCAATATAATCATTTTCTAAACACAGACAATTCATGTAAGCTTTTCCTAATATATAAGTAATAAAAAATTTGAGAGTACAAATGGGGAAAGCCCTACCTTGCCTTCCACCCATTTGGAAATGGAGTCTTTGGAAGCCCATTCTTGGAGAAGAATTCACTCTCCTGTCATAACACAAATATTGAAAGCAACTTCAATCCATTTATCCACTTCTTGTCTCGGAAAAGAAAAATTTTAACTAAAACCCAACTTAAGAACTCTTGACTTTTTTCTGAGCATCAAAACAATTCAAATGAGAATGAAAACTATAAAGAATCTAGTAACAGAAATCTAACTTCCAGAGCTGTCAAACACATCCAAAAATGGAAAATAAAATAAGAACATCTTCTCACCTAAAAGCCAAGAAGGGACGTTGCTGCGGTACCTAGTTGCCAGAACAACTGAATCAACATCAAGTTTTCTCCATCGACAAGCTCCACACTATCACGATTGAACCTTTTGATTCCAGTGACGATATTAATGTCACGAGATTTGATCTTCAACGGTGCACCAATATCCAGAACAAGGGTCTTTCCAGTAGAGTTCTTGAGCTGTAAAGGACCCACTGAAGGTCATTTCAGCCCATATTTCTCAATGTTTCCAAGCACTAACCATGCCAGAATCAACAATAGCTTATCAACCAGCCACAAAGGCAACAATTTCATCATCATAACCACCAATTGGAATGTTGGTTTCCCAAGAACCTCCCTCGGCAAGACATGAACCTGTGGATTGAAGTCTAATTCATCCTCGGTTAGAAACAAGTGTTTGAATTGAACAAGACCAGTGGAAGGGAGTGAGTGATATGTCATGGATTACTCACCAAGCTACGAACCACCATGGACGGGAAGGCCTCGTGGTTGCAGAGATCAAGAGAGACTTCCATGCCAAAATTGCCACACCCAACAACTAGTACTCGCTTTCCACGGTAATCCTCACCGGACCTGTAATGACAGGAATGAAAAAGAGTGTAAGAGAGAGAATGAGAGGAAGAAGAAGAAGAAGAAGAATAGGAGAGGAGAGGAGAGAGAGCAAAATTGTCGGTGACTTGTCGTCGCCGGAGCTTCATCCAAATCCGTTCTTCTTCAGAGATGAAAGATGAGTGAGAGAGGTGTTTGGAATTGAGTAGTGAAAAGGGTTTTGGGGATTTAAATGTCATTTTGCTTTTTGTTATTTTAAGAAACGAGAATATTCAGGGGGTTGGTTCGGGAATGGCCATTTTGCTTAGAATGGGAATCAAATTCCGATTCTGCCCAACCAAACGCCTAGAATCGAAATCCATTTCGATTCCGATTCCGAACCCTTATTCTTGTGAACCAAAACAGACCAGCCTGTGAACACATGAAAAAATTGATAGCTTGGTGTTCAGTGGTAATATTCTAGCAATTGGGAAAAGTGGAGCGAATTTTGGTAATTTGGGATTAGGGGTATTTTGGTGATTTAGGATTAGGGGTATTTTAGTAGTTTGGAAGGAGAGGTATTTTAGTAATTTATGATTAGGGGTATTTTGGTAATTTGGAAAGAGTTGGGTATTTTGATAATTTGGCATAAAAGGTCATTTTAGAAATTTAGTATGAAGGGTATTTTGGCAATTTGCTATGGTGGGTGGCATTTTGGGAATTTAGTATCCTTATGCTCTAAAGGTATTTTGTGAATTGGGTCATAGAAATGGAGTTTACAACTAGTTACGGTCAAATTCTAGGATTTGGATTTGATCCTTGATCTGAACAAGTATTTTTAAAGTTCTAAGTTTGATGATCATTATGTGTAGCGTTTGGTTTAGGTCATCGGACTGGGGGGGGACGGAAAGGACCAAGCAAAAACCAGGTACGTTCAATGGTGGATTTTGAGGATTTGGGACTGAATCTGAGATCTTTTGGTTTTCTAATGTTTCAAAGGGAGATTAGAATGATTTGATTGGGTGTTTGTGGATAAGTTATGGTTCAGACGAATGATTGAGTAGAAATCGAGTGTTGACAAATGCCTTTCTTTGTTGTAACATAGTAGGTTATAAAACAACAAGGACCAAAAGAAGTACATTGAGATTTTTGCGAAGGGCAAACTTGAAAGAAGGTTAATGTGAAGAAGGAGGTTTAAGGCAAGGCATAAGGTTCCCATGCAGCATCTTTCCATCATGTGAAGGCTAGTTTTATTATTTTGCACTTGCTTGACTACTGGGGAATGGTGTATCCTCAAGGAATGGGGCACAATGCGTGTGTGAAATACAAACAAACTCAAAATATAAAAAGGGGGACCTAGAGTTATTTCCACTTTTCATTCAATTATTACTTTGATATTTAATTATTAATTCACGTTTTAATGTCAAAATATGAAGAGGGTCAATGCATAAAGACTAACATGACTTTGGATGAATATTTGTAAGAGTCAAAGCAAAGAGACTAACATGACTTCATCAAAAAATTGGTGAACGTCAAAGCATAGAGGTTTAAATGTCTCTAATGGAACATTGGTGGGGGTTAAAGCGTAGAGGTTGACATGACTTAATCGGAGAATTGGTGTGGATCAAAGCATAAAGGCATACATGACTGCAATGGACTATTAGCATGGGTTAATGCATAAGGGCTAGCATAATTCAAACAGAAAACTGACAAGGGTTAAGGCATAGGCTGACATGACTCCATGGAAAAATATCATCATTCAAGGCAGAGAGGCTTACATGACTCCAACAGAATACTAGGTGGGTCAAAGCATAAAGGTTGGCATGGATTCCAACTGAGAATATTGGCATGGGTCAAGGCAAAGAGACTTACATGACCCCAGTGGAATACTAGTAAGAATATCATCAATGAAGTTATGATTCAATCAATATATATATTTTTCTTACCTCACTTTCTTTCTCTCTCTATATTTTATCTTACATTTTTTTTGCATAATTGTTACTTTATCGAAAATCTTTAATAAAGTCAAATACTCAATAAGCTTTTGAGACACCATAATGTGAGAAAAAACACTTGAAAGTGACTTTTGGCAAATGAGGCAATGGTTTGTACAAAAAAGCTTAGAAGAACCAAATGCAAGGAAGTAAATGATATGATGTGATAGCAGAGCCACGATAGAAGCTTGGAGTGCACCAAGAAGGTTGAAACGTCTCCCAAAATGTGATACATAAGGAAGTATTCAATTATTGGGCAATGCATAAGTATATGAAATATGGTGAATGGTAAGAAGGAAAAAACTATAAATTCAAGGGCAAAGTGCCTTCAACTTTGACTCATATGAGAGTAATTATGCCCAAAGTGGTTATATGCTAGTTTGCATCAAAGACTAGAACGGGTACTCTCTTTTTAGGACCATCACTTAAAAACTCACGGACTTTAAAAGGTTACGTGATGGAAGTGTAAGTTACTGATCAAGGACTTACCTTAGGAAATACTTTTATCACAGGGAGTTTTCCCTGTTTTTTTTTTTTTTTGTTGTTGCCATAAAAGGTAGTTTTGAAGCTAATACTTTAGTGCAAAAAAATGCATATTATGATTTTTATTTGTAGCCCAAATAGATTTATTAAGTGCTAATTTATCAAAGATCAAGGAGGTATTACTTTTTAGGATGAAACATGGCATGAGATGGAGGTTACAAATGACGTGTTAAAAGTCCTAAATAATTATTAATATAGGCATTGGATGGTTGAATCACCATTTAGGGAACATATTTCAAGGGTTGATCTCATCATCATATTTTCTTTTTCTCTTTCCCTTCTATCTCTTTCTTTTCCTTTCTCATATCTTTTTTTTTTTTCTTTCTTTTAAGCTCCTCTCGTAGCCACAAGGGTGGGGATAACTCTTCATTATTTTTCATCAACATGAACCCCTGGCTTCTTATTGATCGGGGAGGACTTAATTTTATGACAAAATGTAGATTGGTGGGGAAGATCAAGGCTAGTGGGTGGATGTCATCACGAAAGATTCCATAGTGATTGAATTCACTTAGCTTCCTTAGTTTCTTGGTAACTAATCCTTGATTCTCCTTTTGCCAATTAACTATTGCACTAGCCTTCCTTGAGATTTGTCCAACTTTCATTGGTTATTCCCTTATTGACAAAGTTGCTAAAAGGTCTTTCTACTTTTTTTTTTCTTTTATCTTTTCTCCTTTTACCTTTTTTTTCATTTTCCTTTCCTTTTTTTGCTAGAGCTCTTTATTGATTGCTCTAATTGCACTTTACCTAGTTTTGACACCCGCTTGCTAAGAGGTATTTACTGTGAGGAAAGAAAAGTTGATATAAAGCCTCAAAAGGCTAACTGGAGGACCTTACTTCATATAATCAGGATTGAATGCACAAAGGTCAAGCAAGCGGGCAAAGATGACATCCATTTATTTCATAATCGACTGCATGACACATATTGAAGAAGTATAGGCTTAGTAATGCATATATTTTGGTTTAGCATTTCTTCACTCTTGGTACAACTAGGGTTCCTTTGGTATGAGAGAATTCCCCTTAAACACTCTCATTCTTCACTCTTTCCATTTTTTTTTTCTTTTTCCTGTTCTCCTTCTTTGGTCGATTTTTTTTAATCCCTTTGATAGCCCTTGAGGTGCATCCTATGGATTTGGCTAGTTTTTCAACGAAAAAAGTCTAATGCATAAACTCAATTGGTTAACAAGAGATTTTTGCAAATTCATAGGGTCACCAAGGAAATAGAGATGACCAAGGATGGCCTTCAATCATTTCTTTGATCATCGACAAAGCACTAGGTTAAATGGTGTCTTTGTTCTTTGTCGTCTCAGGCATTATATTTGTAGGGAGTTTTCTATGCTCTAACAGTTTTAATGTTACCCCAATTTAGACAATGAGGGTTGCTTTATTAAGGGTTAGGGGTGAAGGATGGTTTAGCAAGTTGAAAGGAAACATCTCCTAAAAAAGGATTATCAACTATAGGGTCTTAACTAACAAAGAACTTTTTTCATAGGCATACCTTTGGGGCTTTCCCACGAGTCATGAGTCGAATGTAGTTATTTTGAGAAGGGAAAAACTCTACCTTTTTCTACAGGCAACTTGCCTTGACTGGACTAACTATTGTTTTATAAGTAAGAATTTTAAGCAAGAGAAAAGGGAATGGGGAAAAATACTACTTTGTTAATGGAAGTATTTGAACCCATGAGACAGGATGCTCTTGTACCCCTTTGAAAAGGATCAAGCGGCACATAGTTCAAAATGTCTTGGAATGGCAAGAAAAGAGAGGATAACAAACTATATACACAAAGGCAGTCTTGATGATTGGACAAAGGGTGGAGGGCATTGACCCCCAACCTCAAATTCATGCAGCTGGTTCGAAGTTGAAGTTGGTACCCAATGTTGACAAAAAAAGCACTCATGGCATGTTGAAGAGACAATTACTGTTCTAGGTAAAAGATGGTTCTTGAGGCCCCAAGAATGCAACAAGACATTGATTAATCAACTTCTCAACAACAATCTTGAGTTTTTTTTTTTTTTTTTTTTTTTGTATTGAATTAGTCACCTTTGCCCCAATAATGGTCGTATTTCAATTTTCCTTGGCATAGTACAATGCTTTTTTCTAACAACATTAATAACTCTTCTCAAATGGGGTGAGAGCCATCAACAACAATTTTGAGTTGATGGCAATTATCAGTGGTGTGGCACGAGCTTCTATGGTTTTTATAATAGGCATTTTCATTACAACACTTTGGTGTATGCTCTAATAGGAGTTTCTCGTGAGACACCTCTAGATATTCATCTTTAACCAAGATAGATAGTAGCTAGGAGTGTGGATAAGGTAATAGGGTAAATTCTCTCTCTTTTCCTTTAAGGAGCTTATTGTACCTTCAGGGTAGGTCTATAGTCGGATCAGACTCGGATCAGATTAATCTAAATCCATGTTTGATTCAACAAGATATTAGCTGCATCCGACTTCGATTTTAAATTCTAGTCGGATTATGTGAAGAGCATCTGAGTTTGAAATCGATCGATTTTTTTTTTTTCGGATTTCAATCCAACTCTGATTGATTTCTCCACACCAATATAAATGTTTAGCCAAATAAAAGCGCTGTTTTTCAAGAACCTTAAATTTTTATTCAAAAGTTTTGAAATAAAACAATTATTTACTTGAAACAAAAGTAATTATTCAGAACAAATGAAAAGATAAAAAAGAATAGGAGATCGATCTGTAATATGTAATCAATTAAAGATCAATTTGTAATTTGTAATAGGATTAAGGAACTTGCTGTTTTCATTTAGTTGAGAGAATGAAAAGATTCAACGGTGGTACCTTGCTTCAATCTGCTGGTGTGCTCTTTGTCTGGGAGAACCAATTCACTCTTGCTGTTCTTGTTTGCTTTGGATTTCCTCCTTTACCCCTAAGAGATTTTATTTATTATAGTAATGTATAAAAATATATAAATATATAAATATATAATACATAAATATATAAAATATATTAATATTAATATTAATATATATATCGGATTTGGATTTTTATTGGATCGAATGGAGGTGCATCCGAGTTCGATCCAATTTGTAATCAGATTCTACTTCAACCATCGGAATCTAATCAGATATGACATCCATCCCATCGAAATCCGAGATTATTAGATCGAGCTACGAGTTTTCGTGTATCGTTGACAGGCCAACTTTAGGGGGTCCTCGAACATTTCATTGTATATGGGGCCATACAATCTATTGTATCCATTCTTTATGATGACAAAGGGTATCTGGCTGATCATATTGGCTTTGGTGCAATAACATCTGTTCAAGGAGAAGAGTTGAGGGAACAAATTGGTGAAACAACTTATATTGAGTGCAGCTCTAAAATTCAACAGAATATGAGAGTTGTTTTTGACACTGCAATCAAGGTTGCCCTTCAACCTCCAAGGAGGAAGGAGATGGAAAGGAAGAAAAGTCATATAAGATGTTTGGGTGGGGTTTGTTGACCTTCATTGATTGCATGGATTTGTCAAAGTGGAATGAATCCAACTATCCTATAAAATTTTCTCATAAACCAAACATTAGAAAAAGCAAATTTGATAGAATAATTATTCTTAGCAACCAAATACAAAATAACAGGATTGAGAAAATAAAATTTCTCTTCTGATTCCATCCCATCCCATTCCATCTTTTCCCACAACCAACCAATCGGACCATGAGAAAAGGTGAGATAAAACTGTAGCTATAAAGTTAAAGCGGTGAAAAAGTGAATTTCACTTCACTTCCTCGATATCTGGGTCGAGAATTTCTTCTCACACTCACACAAGAGACAACTAAAGCAGAAACTTACATCTGCTCAACTCCCAATCTCCTACCCACTAACTGTTCCCACTAACATACCCACACAACACTCTCGCCGTGTACTGGGAACATCTCCCAGTAGTGTACTGTGGGGAGGGATGTGAGAACAGCCTGTGGAAATCCAAGCTTAAACAGGTCTCCATGAGGACGGGGAAAGCCGCAATCATAGGCCATTCTCGGAGGGATCCATTTCTGTACAGAAGACCCAGCTTTCTTCAATTTCAGAAACCGGATTCCAGGAAACCCATCTTAGAGTGCAGCTCAAATGGTGCCGAGAACTGCATTTTCTTCCTTCTCTTCTTCGTTATGTTGTAGGCAAGCTTCTGCTCATACGGGTACTCTCTGTCTCTGTTGTCGTTCTCTTTCTTCTTTCTCTAATTACACGTCTGGGCTCCATCTACCAGACTCTAAAACTGTGGAATGTTCTTCCAACTCTGATATTCCCCACGAGGGTACCCAGTCCCAGTTGGAAATTATGGTTGCGGATTTATACCGAACAAGAAAAATGAGTTCTGACGATGCATTAAGCTTCTTCAATCGAATGATTGATTTGAAGCCAACTCCTTCAGTTTATTCGTTTAGTCTTCTGTTACGGGCAATTTACAGAAGCAAGCACTACAAAACTGTGATTTCCCTATATAAAAGGATGGGTGCTATTGGAATCTCACCCGATAGACATATGCTGACGATTCTGCTTCACTGCTATTGCTATCTGAATTGGGTGGGTTTTGGTTTTTCTGTTTTGGGCAGTATATTAAAACGGGCTTATTATCCAGACACTTTAATTTTCACTTCTTTGATGAAGGGTCTCTGCATGGAGGATAGGATTGCTGAGGCAACTAATCTGCTTGAGGTGATGGTCAAGTTGGGTTATCCACCTGACGTGATAACGTATGGCTTTCTAATTAATGGGCTTTGCAGAGCAGGAAAGACTTCAGCAGCTTTTAGCCTGCTCAGGGAAATGGAGAAACGGGGTTGCAGGCCTAACGTGGTTGCATACAACATGGTTATCGACGGTCTTTGCAAAGAGGGATCTATGGATGAGGTGCTAAAACTGCTCGAAGAAATGATCCAAAAGAACATTTCCCCTGACGTTACCACTTACAGTTCTTTGATTCACGGGTTCTGCATTTCAAATCAATGGAAAGAAGCTATTAGATTTTTCTATGAAATGATGGATCGAGGAATTCCACCCAATGTGATTACATACAATATATTGATGTGTGCACTCTGCAAAGAAAGGAAAGTCAAAGAAGCACATGGACTATTATTTGTGATTATCCGAAGAGGGGAAGAGCCCAACATAGATTCTTATAATACGTTGATGGAAGGATATTGCTCGATAGGTAAGGTGGATGTTGCAGAAAAGCTCTTTCATTTCAGGGTGACTAAGGGTCTTGAGGTGGATGTTTTCAGCTACAATGCATTGATAAATGGATATTGCAGAAGTAGGAGGATGGATGAGGCTGTGAATCTGTTTGAGGAAATGCATCACAAAGGATTGAAACCTAGTCCTGCTAACTATACTACTCTTATGCATGGATTATGCCAAGTAGGGAAAGTTGAGGCTGCCCAGGCTCTTTTCAATGAGATGAAAGACAAGGGAATTTCTCCAGATGTGATCACATATAATTGCATAATCAACGGCCTTTGTGATTTGGGTTTGCTGAAGGAAGCCACAGAGTATATGAATGATATGGTGGATAGAAGAATTTCACCAAATGCCATTACTTACAGTTCTGTGATCCATGGATACTGTAACTTGGGACAGTGGCAAGAAGCGAGTAGATTGTTTGGTCAAATGATGGATCAAAGAATTCAACCTGATATTGTAATATTTAACATACTGATGAATGCTCTCTGCAAGTATGGGAAAACAAAAGATGCACGGAGATTTTTAGATATGATGATCCAAAGAGGGAATCAGCCAGATATAATTACTTATAATACATTGTTAAGCGGATATTGTTTGGCAGGGCAAATGGATGATGCTCTAAAGCTTTTTGATTCGATGGAAGCTAAAGGTCTTTATGATTCTATTAGCTACACTGTACTGATAAATGGGAATTTCAAGAGTGGTAAAATAGATGAGGCTATAAGGATCTTTGAGAAAATGTCTTATAAGGGATTAAAGCCAACAATTGATACCTATAATACACTACTTGGTGGACTATGCCAATTTAGGAAAGTTGAGGCTGCACAGAATCTCTTCACTGAGATGGTGGAACAGGGGATATCTCCAAATGTTGTTACTTACAATTCTATAATTTATGGACTTTACAATTCAGGGATGTTGGAAGAAGCCACAAGGGTTTTTGATGAGATGGTCCATGGAGGAATTACACCAAATGTGATCACATACAATCATTTAATCCAGGGCTTTTGTAATTCAGGGCAGTTGAAAGAAATGATCAGATGTTTCTACGAAATGATGGAGCGGAGAATTTCTCCTAATATCATGACATTCAACATACTAATAGATGCATCTTGTAAAGAAGGGAAGATTAGAGAAGCACATGCACTGTTTGTTCAGATGATTCATAGAGGTGAGGAACCCAATAGAACATCATATGAAATATTGATTGGTGGATATACTTCAATAGGCCAAGTGGATGATGCATTGAAATTATTTCACTATATGCTGGCTGACGGGCTTATACCAGATGATCTCACCTGCAACATGTTAATTAATGGCCACTGCAAAACTAAGAGAATAGATGAGGCCTTAAGGTTCATTCAGGAAATGCATAACAAGGGATTGAAACCAACAATTAGTTCCTATAATACACTACTAAATGGACTGTGGGAAAGTGGTCAAGTTGAAGCTGCAAAAACGCTCTTCAATGATATGGCACCTGATGTTGTTACATTTAACACAATGATCAATGGCCTCTGCAAGGGAGGGTTTTTGCAAGAGGCAACTGAGTTATTCTCACAAATGGAAGAAAAGGGTTACTTGCCTAACACAGTGACATTTAATACAATTATCCATGGCTTTTGTCTAAAGAATGAGATGCACAGTGCAATGAAGTTTCTCCATAAAATGGCAGAGAGAAATGTGCCACCAGATACCTGTACACTCTCCATCATTGTTGACTTACTTTCAAAAGTTCAGTATCAAGAAATTATGGAATCACTTCCTAAAACATTTTTACCTGAGGACGAGCAAGAAGGTGATATAATGAACATTTCATCATTAATACCATCCATTAAGGGACATCTAACATCTGGTGATTTGGGTAAATTATATAACAAATTAAAAAAATTCATTGAGTGAAGGTGAGTTATCTTTTTCATAAATGAAGCAAATTTTCTTTTCTGGAATTTGGGTTAGAACTGATGCATTTTTAAATCTGGAGCAGATCAGATGGTTGAACTGTTGGAATGACCAAACTCCATTTCTATGGTTCAGGTTAATCTGCAGGCTTTAAATTGGTAAGAAAATCATTGACTTGGTCAAGATCAGCCTGTTTGTCCCATGTCTAATTTATCATCTAATTTTTGAATGGTCAAAATATCGAACTTTTATACTTATCAGGAAAATGCCAAACTTTTATTAAGTATGAATGTTGTTAGGTTCTTTATTTATTTTATCCATATTTTATAAATTTATTGCCTTTTCATTTTTTAATCTTATTTTCATTTTTTATCAATTCTTTAAGGTAGTTCTGATCACATTATGTAGTGCTGTTCTGTGAACTATGAACTTCTACGTTTGATACCTCTTCAGTTTTAAAACATCGCAACTGATACTTGCTAGTATTTGTAAAGTATAAAATTTCAATTCTGTCACCTCTTTCTCTCTATGTATATATTGCAAGTAAGTTGTGATTAAGGACTTACCTACAATTTGTAGCAAAAGGCAAAATCGAGTTGAGCATATCTTTGGAGTTTAACTAGTTAGAAATTTTATCGAACCAATGGCCATATGTTTTACTAATCTTATATTAAACAATATAATTTTATTCTATTATATGGTCTCTCTCTTTTCTTTTCTTGAATTTTTTTTTTCATGATAATAGGAACTCAATGAGGAAAGTAATGTAGGGTTGATTGATATAAGGCAAGATTGAAGGGTAGCCTTGCTTCAAAATCCAGAAGAGTATGCTCTGAATCTATTTAGAATTAGCCTCTATATTACTTATATAGGCATCTGTCCAGATGGTGGATAATCAGAATGTCTCTGTTTGCAGAACAACTATAGATAACAGTGAAAAATGAAAAGTACTTTTATCAAGATTGTTGGGAGGTAATTAAAAATGATCTGATTAAAATTTGTAGGGAGTTCCACAGTATGGGAGTAATCAGCCCAGGGGTGAACTCAACCTTCTTATCCTCGATTTGGAAGAAGAAAGATGCCACCCAACTTGGGGGCTTCAGACCTATAAGCCTAGTTACTAGTATCTATAAGATAATTGCCAAGGTGCTTTCTCTGAGGCTTAAAAAGGTCCTCCCCCCTTTCATTTCCCAGTTCCAAGATGCTTTTATCCAGGACAGATGGATAGTTGATCAGATTTTAATTGCAAATGAATGTGTGGAGGCTAAAAAAAGGTTGAAGAAGAAGGGAATAGCAATCGAGTTGGATTTGGAGAAAGCTGACGATTTAGTGGACTAGGATTTCTTGATCAACATTATGAGGAAATGTGGCTTTGGGGATTTATGGTGTAAATGGATCAGAGGTTGCTTGCAAACAAGCCACTTCTCTATTATAGTTAATGGGTCGGCATTTGATTTCATTGAGGGGCTTCAAGGTCTTAGACACAATGATCCACTTTCTCCCTTTCTATTCACTCTGATAGCTGAGGTCTTAAGTAAGCTAATCTCTAAGGTTAACTCTATAGAGCTAGTTAAGGGCTGGGTAATAGGAAGAAATAGAGTTCTGGTCTACCATTTGCAATTTGTAGATGATATTCCTGGTTTTTTGTGATGGGGAAGGTAAAGAAGGGGTAGAAAATTTGGAACTGGTATTGAAGTTCTTTGGAAGGATCTCTAATTTGAAAAGCAATTGGTCTAAAAGTTTATTGGCTGGAATCAACTTGGGGGATGATGATCTGAGAGAAATGGCAGACTCGTTGGGTTGTGAGAAAGGTAATTGGCCCCTGTGTTACTTAGGATTACCCCTTGGTGGCAATCCTAGATTAGTTATTTTTTGGACCCCAGTAGTGGAGAGGTTTGAGAAAAGGCTAGCAAGCTGGAAAAGGCATTATATTTCATTGGGAGGGAGAATAACATTGATGAAATCCACTCTAGTAAATCTCCCAGTCTACTTCATGTCAGTTTTTAGGATGCCCCAAGTAGTGGTGAAAACTGAAAAGGATTGAAAAGATTATGAGAGATTTCCTTTGGGAGTCCAGAGAGGGAAAGAAAGATCACTTGATTAGCTGGGATAAGGTGGTAAAGTTGGAGGAAGGGGGATTGGGAATTGGAAAGGTTAGGTTGAAAAATTTGGCTTTGTTGAGTAAATAGCTTTGGAAATTCCCTAAAGAAAATGAGAAACTGTGGAATAAAGTTATCTCAAGTATCCATGGACTGTCAAACAATGGTTGGGATGCAGGCTGCGTGCATAGAGCTACTTTGGCTGCTCCTTTGGACCTCATCTTAGGCCTTTAATTCAAGATTGAATTCACAACACACAACTGCAATTGTCAAGACATGTCTTATCTCTGATAACAAGTCTGTGGAGTCGCATGTAAACTTGGAGAGAAGTTATGTATTTCATTGGTATTGACTTGTCTGTATATAGATCATGTACAATATAAGTTTGTTGCAAAAGGATAAAAGATAAATACTAAAAATGATGAGATAATTACAAGAGGAAGGATAACTAGTGTATGGCCAGCCTTATCAGTGATTCAGTCATGGCTAACATCACATCCCCAAGGGAGGAAACCAGTTATACAAATTTTCTTTGATGTTCATTTATTGATTAAAAAGGGTCAACATTCTGTCTTATGTATAGCAAGTGGATACTTTCTAAATATGCTAACTTGCAATTAATAGTGTAGTTATAGGAAACCCCTCTTCCAGCTTGATTTGGAGAGTATGGGGTTGTGTTCCTAGGCACACCTGTAGAGACAAAAGTTTATTAAATGATTTGTGAGACCAAGTTACTGTTCATGCATAACTGGTGTGCCAAATCTGTTGGAGGACTTTTTCTATGATTGTAAGAGTTTTGAATTCCATTGAACAAGGTGACATGGATCAGTTGGTGGAAATTGGATCATTCATTGAGAAACTTGATATGATGAATATCTTGGACATTTCCAGATCTGTAGAAGTGTAGAACCATGTTTCCCATGCTCCCAGAAAGGGGTATTTGATGCCATGCCTGTATAGGGAAAATTAACCCCTTAGACTTGGGGTACGTTATTACCATAATATGAGAGAAAATTTTGAAAAATAGATCTGTCATTGTTATTTATACTGCACAAGTGGAGAGGTTTTCAAGATTAGATAAGAGCATGTCTAATCATTCATTCATCAAATGTTGCTTAAAATCATCTAGTAAATGCCATTTTGGTAAATCTTGGAGAAGCCTCCATAAGGTTTGAGCATCCTTTATTTGAAAACATGTCTTCCCAACTTTGTAGTTGGGGAGTTGGTGTCAACCCAACCCTTTAAGCCTAACCTTAATCCACCACATGAAGGGTACATTGATGGGAGGATTGTTACCAACTGGAGCCAACCTGAGATTGAGTTCATTTTCTTTAACCTGGACCTTTATTCAGCGCAATTAGAGAAGCCATACCTAGCCTGCCCCTCTTGACTAATACAATCAATTATCATCCCTAACTGTTATTTTTTTTATATCTTATGATACATAAATATGATAATGGGTTATATTGCATTCTTTTCCAAGAAACAGTGAAAAGTAAAACAAATAAAAAAACTGATATGTAATTCTTAAATGACAGTAGCCAGAGGAAGATGAGTGCTGCCAATTTTAGAAGATGTTGTAAGGAAGGGAACAAGAGATCTCACAATTTATATGTATCATAAATAAACAATTTGATTCAAAATTGTTTTTTTTTTTTTTTTTATTGAAGTCATAGGGTTGACAAGCCAATTACTTTTTCCTTCTTGTAGAGTACTGCATCTATAACCAGATGAATATCAATACATCAAGTCAAGTGCCATGTATCTCCCCTATTACATATTTAAAAATTAAAATGAGTTGTATCACTTGGCAACTTGATCAAACCTTAATTGTGCAGGCTTGATTTATGGAATTCTATCTTACCATTCTTTGTAGTCTAGCAATAGTATCTGCCTACACTAATTCTTGACTTCCATCACTTATTGAATCTGCTAAACAGCTTACAGCAATTTCTCATACACCCATTTCATGTGCAAAATTGGAGAGACAACGCTAAGTATCATCCTAAAAATCATATGCCAACTGATTCTATCCTAGTAAGAAAAAGAAATCTACAGGGGTGATCAAAGAAACATAACAATTCCTAGATCATACCAAAATATTTTTAAACTTAAGAATTCCTATGATTTGGACTCTTTATTTTTCAAGTATTTTCTAATTCATGCTGCTGACCTACAACTGCCATTTTTTCTAGCTTTATACAAGGCTAGAACAGTACCCACTTCAATGTCTAAAATGACACATTGAATACTAGTAGCCAATTACATACCTCATAATGGCATTCCCATCTCAATTCCTTTGCATGTTGTCTTGTTACTTGTCACATTATGGCTTGCTTAGACCCTCAAACAACAAAAAGGCACTTTGGATTTATAGAATGAAATTCTGGAGTCCCTTTTTTAACATTGTTTATGTAAGTTTGATTTGAATCCTATTTACATGTCACTGCCTTTTATACAATGAAATTCTAATATTACACTTTTAAATATAGTCTAAATTTGAATTTCTACCATTTTGCACTGAGAAAACTAAGAAGCTAATAGATTCTGAGATGTCTACTAAAGTGGAGGTAGTGAAAGAGTGAGATTAAGTCTAGAGGTTATAATTCCGACACTTACGTTGATGAGATAAAAGCAAACATTCTAGATTCCCGTGTAGATAAAGATCAATGGGGTCGTTTAGTTGACTACTAGAACTCTGACAAAGGAAAGGTATAGACTAGATTTTATTGTATAATTTTACTTGTTACCTTTTTTTGATGAATGATAATAAATTTATTAATTCAGAAGCAGATTTAGAGTGAGTTCAGACAACATCCCAAGGAGAGGCGCGAGCTGCAGCCCCTCCTTGAATCTTACAAGTAAACTAGGAAAGAAAAGCAAGAATCACAACTGAGCCCAAAACAATTCTTCCCTATTTACCCCTTGCTTAGCTAACACATCTGACAAAGT